GTTTTATGCCCTGGTTTTTAAAAAAAAAATCAATTTAAAAACATTGTCTGAGACAGCGTTATTAGTTGTTGACTTTTTTAAAAAAAAAATTTGTAATTTCTGTTTTTTAAAAATAAAAAGAAAAAAAAATTAATATACACATAAAACGCTGTCTGAGACAGCGTCTTATGTACAACATAAAACGCTGTCTGGGACAGTGTTTCTCTGCTGGTCTGCAGCACCAACAGCCAGCAGCCTTTGTTCTCTAATTTATGCCCTGCTTCTCTAATATCTGCCCCAACACACCACCCCTGCCTTGATTAAGCCACCACAGTTGACCACCACCCCCACCACCAACCCCCACCGTCGACCACCACCTTCCGCCACTTTCGACCACCCTTATGCACTTCAAAACAGTCCAACTACCCCCAAAAACACTTCAACCACCTCCACCACCAGCCCCCAACCTTTCCACCACCGTCGACCACCACCCACCATAACCAACAGCACTAAAACCACCATGAACCACCACATTAACCACCACGGGTCATCGCTTCTACCCCGTTTCTGATTATGGATCCCAAATGTCTGCTATTTGATATATATCGGCCTAGAAGGATCTATTTTGAATGACATAAGTCCAATTTGGATAAATAAGGAAACTAAATTTCAAACTACACACAGATTCATTCAACAAACATGAATTATATTAGTAATGTAATCGTTATATACATCATTGTAGAAAATGTTTGTCTACAACAAATAAATCATACAATACTATCCCTACTCATCAGTTCGGGCTAAAGGTTCCCTAGCCTGACTGTCATCCCTCCGTCTACGACGCCGACTGTAATGAGTAATGGTGGTGAATGGGTCTCGGGGCGGTGGGGGAGTGAGCTGGCTGGACGATGTGTACTCCTGGGTCTCGGTGGGCGCAGTACTGTGGATGATGTACTCCTCTACGTCTGTGGGTGTCGTAGGATCACCTCCACCGCTACTCTGGCCGGGGTCGAACTGTGAATGGAAGGAGTAGCCATCTTGACCGTCCCGCTGGTGAACGAGATAACCGTGACCATGTCTCTGTAAGCAAGTCACGGACATATCTCGCATCCGCTCGACCTAGGCTCTGGTGGGTCCGTCTACAAGGGCGAGTGGCGGTGCATCAAACATCGCCACCATATCTGCCACCTGCAATAATCATCGATCAGTTAGTTACATGATATATAAAAAAAAATAAAAAATGAGGACGATAAGTAGAATAAAAGAAACTCACATATCCGCTAATGACGTCATATGCTGGATGGTAATGTGTGGACGGTGGTGTGTAGCTGGGGTTGATGAAACGGCGTGTAATACGCCTGTACCACACCATGTACGGATCGTGAGGATCCATAACGCCTGTATCGGATCACCTCGAACGACATAATCCAACCGTTGTTGCCATAGCTGAAGGAATTGACAATGCTCCAGTGACCAGTTTATCTCCCCCTTTCCCCGCCAGTCAATGTCGTGAAGGTGTACACTAGTGTCACAATGCTGGGGAATAGGCTGGCGTAGTCGGAACTATCGCATGACGCGGTCGGGTAGGTGACTCTCCATAACCTCGAAACAAATTAGGGGGACCCTGGCACGCCACTTTGCCTGATGATCCAGTAGATGTCCAAGCATGGCATCTACCAACTCCGGTACATACGGATCCCAGGTGATCTGCAATAACACATCAAAATAAATATTATAATTAAGTTAGTCCACATACAGTATACACATTACATAATTGTTTACAAATATCTTAAAAGTTTCCTCTAGATGCTCAGTGAGTCGATCAAGGGCGTTTCGGTAGTACGGAAGACTCGTCACCGCATGCGCCTGTGTGAGTCTGGGGACCACCCACCTATGGCAACAAATTTGTTTTGTTTGTTAGAAAAATGAAACCGTATGGGGGAAAAAGAATGACAAATGTTACAAATCTGCAACCGTATGCATCATCAGCTGTAGGGAGCGGTGGAGCGATGTACGGTTCATACTGGTCATCCCGGTCCTGCTGCCCCCGACAATGTACAGCAGGCCTACCTGGTCTTCCTACGTGGATGTGCTCCCAAGCCCATAACTGCAATAGCAAAATACAAAACTATGTTAAGTATGACGTTAGTCATTGCCTAAATAGCTTGTGAAAAATTAGGTTGGTTACCTGAAACACGATCAACATTATCCAAACTATTATCAACACTACCAATATCAACACTACCAATATCAACACTAACAATTCAACAATTACCAACACTAACAATTCAACAATATCAACACTAACAATTCAACAATACCAACACTAACAATTCAACATTATTAACACTAACAACTCAACATTATTAAGATTTTAACCACAATTCCAAAAAATTAGAAACCACCAACATAAACCCTAGAATTTAAAAATCAAAGAGAGATTGAGTAAATACCAATTTCGGGGTGAGGGGAGGCTAGGTTTAGTGGGCTTCCGGCGTCCGTTCATCGGAGTGCGACGGTGGAGGTGGCGACGGCTTGAAGGGAGGAGCACAAGTATCTTGGAGAGAGAGAGGGATTAAGTTAAGGGGAGTTTGGGAATGAAGAAGGGAGGAACAAACGCTACTTGTTTTACGGCAAAAAAATAAAAACGCAAGAAACGTTGTATGAGACAGCGTTTTAGTACTCTTTGTAAAAAAAAAATACAAACTGGTAATTACAAAAAATTTTAAATAAAAGTCAACAACTAAAAACGCTGTCCCAGACAGCGTTTTTAGATTGAATTTTTTTTAAAAAAAAATCAGGGCAGAAAAAGCTGTTCGAGAAAGCGTTTTACCATGAAAGCTTAGTTTGGTAAATACTTTTGCCACGCAACCATTTTCGTAAATATTTAGCAAATATGGCTTAGTTTGGGGAAACGTCCCACTACCAGTCTATTGTTATCATAAAATTTGATTACTCCATTGAAGGACAACCATGAACCATCTTAAAGCACTGGCGCACAGCATCTATGGAAGAGAGAGTATTCACAAGCACAGGGTAAAACTCCTACCCATAAGGGTTAATCATTCCCTATATTTTCATATTTCTTCTTATGGTTTTCTAAAAATTCAGCGCCGAAGCCGCCGACATAAATCTCGAAATAAAAGTCAGAATAAAGCTCCAGTTCGATCTCCATTAAAGGTGATTTTCTCGATCAATTTGGTTTCACGGTGGCAAGGGAGGGGTGCTTCTGAACTTTTTCAATTGTGTTTTCACGATGCCCATGGAAGGGGAGGACAGAGAAAGCTAAGAGAACATGGTGGCCATGGGAGCGAGCCTGGGAGGAGAGGATAGAGAAAGCTTACATGATGGTAATGGTGGTGAGTGGGTGTGGTGTCCAAGACTTGTAGCAACGTTATTGAGGATAGAAGGTAGCCCAATTTTTTTTTTTTTTATTTCTCCTTTATTTTTAGTGTTAACTTCTTTTTACTGAGTTGGCAAGGAAATATAGTAGATTTAATTACAAATCTGCCATTAAGATAAACAATTTTTTGTTAAATAGGAGATTAACGGGGTCTTGCTCAATAATGAGAATGATTTGAGGAGTTCAAAAGTTGAATATTCCCCACCCCCTTGACAAAAATCTAATCTAATATATATAAATAAAGTAGGCATTTTTGGAGAGCATTTGGAGAGCCACGTAAGAAATATACTTAATCGACCAATAAGAAAAAAGATTTTGTATTTTATTTTTGAATTAAAAAACTATGTCGCCACCTAGATAAAGATTTGTATTTTATTTTTGAATTAAAAAATTTTGTCACCACCTAGATAAAAGTAACGAATTAGATTTGATATATCTAAAATTTTAATGCCACGTAGATTATAATCCACGAATTAAATTATTTTAATGAAAAAATAAAGTAAAAATATAGGAAAAGATAAATTTATTAATTCAATACTACGAGTATAAGAAATCCAAAAAAAATATACTAAAAAATATTTAAATGATAAACGCTTATAATAAAGTTTGATATCTATCATTATAAGATATATTTTGATAGTATTTATGATAAGAAAACAAAATTGTTTGTTAATAATAATTAATTAAAATTTGTGATACCTACCATTATAAATTGACACATCATACGACACAAACAAAATTTCGTATCAATTAAAAACCCTATCAAGCGAATTTTGTTAGTAATTTTGTGTTAATGGTCATCAATGGCCGGGTAATTTTTAGCTTAATTTTTAAAATGATATGTTTAAATTAGTATTTCTAATTATTACTTACATTGGATTAATTTGGGATACTCAACAATTATATGTGTATGTTTTATTTACTAAATGTTTTTATACATGCAGATCTAACACATCATACGGCACAAATAAAATTTCGTATCAAAACAAAACCCCATCAAGCGAATTTTGTGTTATTAATTTTGTGTTAGTTTTAGGTCATCAATGTCCGAGTAATTTTTAAAATCTTATGTTTGTAATTATTAGTTACATTGTATTTATTTAGGATACTTAACGATTATTTGTTTATGTAATGGCATACGATTAGATGTTGTATACTTAATATATGGATGACTTGAGTTATTTTTGGAGATGATGAAAAAATTCCAATGCATAGATTTGATTTTATATCGCAACAATTTTTCATTTATTGGTAAATATATTGATTTATTTTATATAAATGTAAATATTTAATTTATATCAATTTCAGTTTGGCTAACATTTCACGGTTCAATTTATCCATTGATGTAGTAGGTTGGTTGTGGACGAGGTTGGTGATTTTATCGAAATAAAAGATTTGGTAAAACAATGAATAATGATTTAGGATTTAAATTATTAAAAATTTATCATTTCACATTAAAGATTTTATATAATGGAAAAAATATCATATTTACAATTTATTTATATTTAATAAATTCATTATAAATTATAGTAAAAAAAATTAAACATTAAACTTTTATAATTTTGTCTGAAATTATTAAATACAATAAATCAAATAATTAAAAATTTTAGATGGAAAAACCGTGCATCGCACGGATTTCCATCTAGTAATAAAATATATTGATGATATGATACGATATTAGATTGCTGATGATCTATCTTTTCCTAATAAACAAATAAAATAATAATAAAAATAAATCAAATTAAAAATGAAAATTATAGTGGCCCATGAGCGCACATCATCTAGTAGTAAAAAAATATATAAAAAGCCCATTAATCAAATTAAAAATGAAAATTATAGTGGCCCCATGAGCGCACATCATCTAGTAGTAAAAAAATACAGTATATAAAAAGCCCATATTTGTTTATCCAACTCGCTACACTCTCTATTCAAACCCTATATATATATAAATATATACCCACATTCCACAATTCCATAGATCCTCCTCTCGCTCGCACGGTGTAAACTCCTCTCAAAGGCAAGGCGTGCGAGATGGGAAGCCAAGCCGAGAGCGGAGGCGGAGGATCAACAACAACAACAATGCGTAATCGATTTCGAGGTTGCTCAAAGGCTGATTTCCTACCAGAACAATCATTCCAAAGCTGGTCTAATTACATGTCAGCCCTTAAGGAGACTCCTGCACGGTTCATGAACCGGCTTACGACACGGTCCCTGGATGACACAGAGCTGAATCAAGTCAAGTCTGAAAGTCTCCATGATATGAAGAAGGCATTGACATGGTGGGATCTTACTTGGTTCGGTATCGGCGCCGTAATTGGTGCCGGTATCTTCGTTCTTACAGGCCAAGAAGCTAATCAGCATGCTGGTCCTGCTGTTATTTTGTCTTTTGCAGTTTCTGGTTTGTCTGCTATGCTTTCCGTCATGTGTTACACTGAGTTTGCTGTTGAGATCCCTGTTGCAGGTATTCTTTTTTCTTATATCTTTTTTATAATATGCAACTATTGATTTTTTTATTTTATTTTTTTAATAAATTATTCTGAGTAATTAAGGTTAAGATTAATTCAATAGTTGAATCCATTATGCTTGTTTCGTTTTTTTATTTTAAGTTTTTTTTTTTAAAATGCAATTATTTTTTTATAATATTTTTAATGAATTATAATGAGTTATTAAGGTTAAGATTGATTAATTGTTGATGACTCCATTATTTTGCTTGTTTCAGTAGTTTTTTTTTTTTTTTTTTTTTTTTGGTTTTGTGGAAGGTTGACTTTATCAAATGAATCTAGACTCTTAGTGGTTTCATAGCATTTTTTGGTTTTTTTTTTATTTATTATTTTTGTAAAATTCTATCATAAATTTTTTTTTTATATAATTCATATAATGATATAATTAGCAATCAAAAAACAATATTTAAGAATATGGAATAAATGAATCTGGATTCTTATGGGGTGTTTGGTTTGTAGAGTGGTATGAGTTTGGAATCAGGAATAGGGTTAAAGTGGTATCGGATTAGAACTTGATATTTAATATCATGTGTTTGGTTCAATTTTGGAATGAAATCTCATCCCCTAAATACCATGTATGGAATGGAATGAGCCAAACCCACCTTCCCCAAGGTTTCCAAACCACATACCTCGGGTTTAAGGTTATGAGTTTAAAATTCATACTTTTGACAACCAAACATATGGTATGGGTTTTAGTCATTATAAACTCATACCTCATACCTATATTTCGCAAACCAAACACTCCCTTATATTTATATATATATATATATATATATATATATATATATATATATATATATATATATATATATATATATAGTTAAAGCATCTTGATGATTATAAGAAATAAACCTAAAATAGCTTGATTGTTTTTGTGAACAATCACTTTTGATTCCATATGTGCCGTCATCCATTAGTTGTAAAGATAAAATATTGGCATATTGCATTATAGGAGTAATGATCAAAGATAATAATTGTTAATTTGTTAAAACACCCACAAAAAAAAATAGATAAATAAATAAATAAATAAAACATAATAAATAACGAAAATCAAGGCTTACGAAAAGGACAATGGAAACAAATCTCTTTGTAAAGTAACAACATCCTATAATTCAGGAAGAAACAAATAATTCTATTGTTTAGAATTGTCTTTTGCGTGAAAAATTACTCTTTTAGTCAAAATTAGTAACAAACAATCAATTATTTTTTTATACTCATAATGTGATTTGTTTAACTTTTACCATAAATAATTAGAAATGATAACATTCATAAAAGTCAACCCATATTTCCAAGATTCTGTCAAATTTCCAAAAAGTTAAGGAATCTTCAAGATTCCATTTCTAAATCAAATTGATAGCGTTTTGGTTCTAACTTTCTAAGCTATATTATTTAAGAATAATATGATTTAAATGATTTAATTTCACTTTATAAATTTAATTTGACCAATAAAATGGTTTATTATGCATTGATAAATAAAATATGGGATAAAAATAGTAGAGGATAAAAAGATAAAGATTGATTTGTTTTGCCAATTTCATAATTTCCTGGTTGTCAACCAGCTAAGAAGTCAATTAATAGTGAATAATATTGAGTAATCCTTAATTAATCAAAGTCAAACATGTGGTGGAACCGTGGAAGGGTCATTAGTCAAATGCTAGTAGCAAATCATATTTTTTATCATAAATACGACAGCTGTTGAACTTGGACTTGATTGTGAAACTTATCTATACAATTTAAACCTTTATTTTATTTTATTTTTTATATATATTATCAATTTTTAAGTGTGTATTTATTTGAACAAATTGGTCTTTCTTGTCCTACGTCTAGTAAACAATTGAGAGGAGACAATGAAGACTACAATAAATATAATTAGGACCGATTTTTCTTTGAAAAATATATACCAATTCCAATTACAAAATTTTTTAAATGTGCATAGTGATATCGTATGGTCGAAGTTTATTTATTTAGGGATTATTTATCGTGGGGTTACTTGGTCGGTTAGGGATTACTTAATAGTGAGGTTCTATGATAAGGTCGGAGTAGTGCGGTTCCAATATTACGGTATAATCGACGGAGTATGGTCGGAATAGTTACTTAAAATATTTATTTGGACTAGTGAAGTCCAGTTACTTATAATCCCTACGTCTATTAATTATGGAGTAGTACAAACCGATCGGAGTATTAATTATGGAGTATCAATTTCAAAATTAAAAAAAAATAAATGTCCCATAAACATGATTTCTTGCTTTTCATTGAGAGTGTCTATTGTTCTTATGAGATGAGACAACTCGCGAGCTACTTGAGTTCGAGAACTCGACTCGAAATTGACTCGAAATGTTAATGAGTCGAGTCGAGTAGATCATTACTCGACTCGAAAGCTCGTGAGAAGCTCGAATTCCTTTATATAATATTATATTTACTTAAAATTAAAATATTTTGGTAAAAAACATTTTTTATTTTTACATTAATAATTAATAAGTAAAACATTATTTATGTACTCGTATCGTCATATATTTATTTCTCAAATGACAAAATGAAAGAAAATGAAGAGATGTTACACTAAATAGAGAGTTTTAATAAGACGAAATAAATTGCAAGCTACTCGAGATCGATTCAGTCAAAACTTGACTCGGTCAAATTTGGTAAAAGCTCGACTCGGTCAAAGGTCGGGTGAAAACTCGACTCGATTAAGCTCGACTCGATATGTTAACGAGTCGAGTCGAGCTACCCTAAACTCGAACTCGACTCGCAACTTAAGCACCCTTAGTGCTTACGTGGGTTTTTGATTTGCATTTATCTCTAAATTTTCTATTCTTTCTATTTTAAAAATATACTTTTTTTTCTGATAAGATTATTGAATGGAAAAAAAAAAATTAAATAAATAAATCAAAATGCATGCATCATAAAATGAATGAATTGAAGTATTATATCCTACTCCATATATCTCCATGCAATTGAAATAGCATATGAAAATTAATAAAATGAGAATATTCACCATTTATTTATATTATGGGGATTCTTAATACGAATTTGAGGTTGTTTTCATTAATCATAATACTCTGTATTACACGTTTATTTGATATGAGGTTCTATGATAAGTAACTGGACTTCACTAGTCCAAATAAATATTGTAACTAGTCACGAATGTTAATTTGAACTTTTCTTATGATTTTACAGCGGTTGTTTGAAAAATGACTATCATATTATTTTAATGGTATATAATATGATCGATTCATTTTTTCACGTTATAAAATGGCCACAATTAGGCTTATAATATCTACAATGTAAATATAAATTTTGAAAAATTTTATCCATAAAATTTTTGAGAAACTATAAAATAAGAATATAAATTTCATAAGTGAAACTAAAAATTTGTTAAATAAAAATGTTTATAATCTATTTAATACCATTAATAAAGTAATAAAATTAATTACTTGAGAAAAATATGTCAATTATAAAATATATAATCAATAGAACATTATAGTAGTCGTATTTCAAACGACTAATATAAAACTTTCACAATCCTACGGGTACAAACTAGTTGTATACTTCTTTAAATCGTTTGTGTAAGAGACCTGACTACATACTCTAATAACGAGGTCGATTGACAAATAACAGGTGGTTCATTTGCATATTTAAGAGTCGAGTTAGGAGATTTCATGGCCTTCATAGCAGCAGGAAACATCATCCTAGAATACGTCATTAGCAGCGCGGCAGTTGCACGCTCATGGACATCATACTTCGCCACCCTCTGCAACCACAAACCCGACGATTTCCGTATCATTGCACATAACTTAAGCCCTGACTACAGCCACCTCGACCCAATCGCAGTCGTTGTAATCGGTGTTATCTGTTTCGTTGCAGTCTACAGCGTTAAAGGCTCTTCCCGTCTAAATTACATTTCTTCCATCGTCCATGTGTTCATCATCGTCTTCATCATCATCGCGGGTCTTACTCACGCCGATACCAAGAACTTAACCCCCTTTATTCCCTACGAACCTCGTGGTATTTTCCAGGCCTCAGCTGTGCTGTTCTTCGCGTATGTTGGGTTTGATGCAGTGTCAACGATGGCTGAGGAGACGAAGAATCCTGGCAGGGATATTCCTATTGGATTGGTTGGTTCCATGGCTATTGTTACCGTTGCGTACTGCTTGATGTCTCTTACTCTTTGCCTCATGCAGCCTTACAATCAAATTGATAAAGATGCTCCTTTTACATTAGCCTTTGAGAAGGTATTCTTCTACTCCTTACACACCTTCCATTTATAACTACAAGTAACTTTTACTACTGTGTTAGATGCTTACAACACTTTTATTTTTACATCTGTCATTATATAATTTCAACTATTAATATCTTAAATTATTATTGAGTAAAAATGGTAAGTAGTAAAAGTTAACATTTCGAAAATAAAATTTGAGGCAAATATAAATATATAATACAAATACACGTGACTATGTTTTTTCTTTGAGTAAATCGTAATAGTGAAAGTAGAATATCTTAACAAAGTAATATTAAAAAATTTACAAAACTTAAGCTATGAATGAAGTACTAGTTTTGACCGTACCACATTTTAATATATAGTTCATACATGTGGATAATTTTATTGTTGTTGGCTTGATTACAATATTAATTTTCAAATATATATCTATTTTTAAGTAATTTTTTGAATACAAAATTAAAGATATTAATAATCAAAATTGCGTAAAAGCAGTAATCTTGGTGCGGCACTCTAACAATTCTAAACATTTGCTGATTAGGCTGTTCAAACATAACTCTAATGTATCACATATGGTTGTATACTTACATTTACACATGATTTTATGGATATATTCTTTAGGTAGGAATGAATTGGGCGAAGTATCTTGTAGCAATTGGTGCTCTAAAAGGAATGACAACCGTGTTACTAGTCAGTGCAATAGGCCAAGCTCGTTACTTGACTCACATAGCGCGAACACACATGATGCCTCCATGGCTAGCTCAGGTGAACGAGAAGACAGGCACTCCAAGAAACGCTACCATTGTTATGATGTTTGCTACTGCTATTATTGCATTATTTACAAACCTCGACATCTTGTCTAACCTCCTATCAATTTCCACCCTATTCATCTTCATGTTAGTAGCATTAGCTCTTCTAGTACGAAGGTACTATGCAAGTGGTATAACTACACCTAGTGATCGTAACAAGTTTGTTACTTTCGCTGCTCTCATTCTTGGCTCTTCAATCGCGACAGCTGCTTACTGGGGTGCTACACAAACGGGGTGGATAGTATACACCATCACCGGGCCTATTTGGTTCCTTTCGACGTTGGGACTACAACTCTTTGTTCCACAAGCAAGAAATCCTAAACTGTGGGGTGTCCCATTGGTTCCTTGGCTACCATCTGCGTCGATTGCTGTCAACATATTCCTTCTTGGCTCAATTGACAAGGACTCTTACATTAGGTTCGCAATATGGACTTGCCTTCTAATGGTTTATTATGTATTCTTTGGTTTGCATGCATCGTATGATACCGCGATTGAGATGGCAAAGGTAGGTGTGGAAGAGAATGCCATGGAATTAGGTAAAGTTGAAGCAAAGAAGTATCCTCTTACTCATGAAGATTTAGAAGGTCACAGTGGGAACAATGACGATAAAAGTTAGTAATATATAGTATGCTTTTTAGTGTATATAAGGGACGATGAAGGTGATTGTTTCATATTTATTTCTTTTTAGGTTGTTTGATTATGATGAGAAAATTTGTGAGTACACAAGTTTGATTATTAATAAAATTAGGGGGTTGTTAAAATATAACTTTCTAATTATAGGATGATATTGTATGTTTGTGGAGATAGAAGAAAGCAAAGGAACAAATAAAAGTGTCGGTTGTATTTTCTACTTCTTCATTTCATAGTTCACAAGATAGTGAACTTATTTATAGGCAAATATTGCCATTAAAATATTATACATGATTGTACTTTTAGACAAATTATTGTCCATAATAAATTCATGTGATGAGCTACAAGTTACCATGCTACAAGTTATGTGAACTTCATTTTGACATTTTCTCAACACTCCCCCTTGAAGTTCGCATGAAATGGGGTATGGGTTGCCTTAAAGGAAAATATTATATGCTTTGATATACTGCCTCGTTAAAAACCTTGTCAGGAAAAACCCAGTGGGATAAAAACCTGATCGAAGGGAAAAAGAGTGAAGTGTATATAATACTCCCCTTGATTTCAACATAGTTCACGAAGATGACGCATTCCAATTTTGTGAACTAATTGCTCAAATTTCTTAGAAGGAAGTGATTTGGTGAACAGGTCGGCAAGGTTGTCACAAGACTGAATTTGCTGGATATATATTTCCTCATCCTTTTGCAGGTCATGTGTGAAGAATAGTTTTGGGGATATATGTTTTGTTCTATCTCCCTTAATATATCCCTCAGTTACTTGAGCGATGCATGTTGTATTGTCTTCAAAGATGGTGGTTAGGTTTTCTGTTATTGCTTTCATCCCACACTCTTTTTGGATATTACTAATCATCGACCTCAGCCATACACATTCTCGTCCTGCTTCATAAAGTGCTATAAACTCTGCATGATTTGAGGATGTCGCGGTCAATGTCTGTTTTGTTGATTTCCATGATATTGTTGTGCCGCCATAAGTGAACAAATATCCATTTTGTGACTTGGCATTTTGAGGATCCGATAAGTATCCAGCGTCTGCATATCCAATGAGAGCAGCATCTTGTTTCGGTTCATAATATAAACCAAGGTCTTGTGTCCCTCGTAGGTACCGAAGTAAGTGTCGGACTCCTTTCCAATGTCTGTATGTCTGTGTATTGTTGTACCTAGCTAACAAGTTCACTGAAAAAGCTATGTCGGGTCTAGTGTTGTTAGCTAATCCAATTGCACTTAAGTATGGTACTTCTGGACCCAGAATTTCTTCATTTTCTTCTCGGGGCCTGAATGGATCGTTTTTCATATTCAAAGAACGAACAACCATTGGGAAGTTGATTGGGGTTGCTTTGTCCATGAAAAATCTTTTCAAAACTCTTTCTGTATAGTTTGATTGATGGACAAAAATACCATGACTCAAATGCTCAATTTGCAATCCAAGGCAAAATTTAGTTTTTCCAAGGTCTTTCATCTCAAATTCTTTCATCAAGTATTTTGCAGTTTTCTCAAGTTCATTTGGGGTTTTGATGATATTCAAATCATCAACATAAACTGCAATAATAGCGAATCCTGATTGTGATCGCTTTATGAAAACACAAGGACTAATTTGGTTGTTCTTGAACCCTTTTCTCATAAGGTATTCACTGAGACGGTTATACCACATCCTTCCAGATTGCTTCAATCCATAAAGTGCCCTTTTTAGTTTTATGGAAAGTAATTGTCTAGGTTTGCGGTTTTCTGGTAGTTTTAGTCCTTCAGGGACTTTCATGTAAATGTCTGTATCGAGTGACCCATACAAATACACAGTCACTACATCCATTAATCGCATTTGCAGTCCTTTTGTGACTGTCAAACTTACCAGAAATCTTAATGTAGTTGCATCGACTACTGGAGAATATGTTTCTTCATAATCAATCCCTGGAATTTGAGAAAATCCTTGGGCTACAAGTCTTGCCTTGTATCTAACTATCTCATTTTTCTCATTACGTTTTCTCACAAATACCCATTTGTATCCAACGGGTTTTACACCCGCTGGTGTAAGGGTTATTTTTCCGAAAACTTCTCGTTTTTCAAGTGACTTCAACTCAGCCAGCATTGCCTCCTCCCACTTTGACCAATCACTCCTGTGTCGGCATTCTTCCACTGTTCTTGATTCAACATCATTTTCATCGAACACAATGTCGATTGCGATGGAATTTGCAAATATTTCATCCACGATAACATCTTTCCTATTCCAATGGGTCTTGGTAGAGACGTAATACATTGAAATTTCATTGTTATCGATGTTATGAACATCTTGTTCATTCCCCGTAGGGTTGTCTTCCTGTTCGTCCCCTTTTGGATTATCATCATTTTCTTTACTTTCATTCACATTTGGTCTTTCTTGACCTTCTGACGGAGAAACATCATTAGTCTCATTTTCTATTCCATCCAATCTTTTCAACTTCCTTGGTTTAGAATCTTTTGAACCAAGTGGTCTCCCACGATTTCTGCGTGCTTGGGATTCATTCTCAATGGCCTTATTATCAGTTGGGATTTCAATACGTGCAAGGGCATTTTCTGCTGGTATATGTGATTTTGTCACTTTCTTTGTGTCTACAAATGCATCAGGCAATTGATTTGCAACACTTTGTAAATGAACAATTTTCTTGACTTCTTGTTCACACATATTTGTTCGTGGGTCTAACATCAACAGTTGTGTTGCATTCCAAATAAGTTCTATTTCTTTCTTGCGTGGGTCCACTTTCTCTCCCCCTAAGGCTGGGAATACTGCTTCGTTAAAGTGACAGTCGGCAAATCTAGCCGTAAATAAGTCACCAGTCAATGGTTAAAGATATTTAATTATAGAGGGGGATTCAAACCCAACATAAATTCCCAGCCTTCTTTGTGGACCCATTTTTGTTCGTTGGGGTGGAGCAATGGGAACATATACAGCACAACCAAAGATTTTTAGATGTGAGATACTTGGTTCTCGACCACAAACAAGTTGTAGTGGTGAGAATTTATGATAAGATGTAGGTCTCAATCTAATTAGTTTTGCTGCATGTATTATAGCATGTCCCCAAGCAGATGATGACAATTTTGACCTCATTAATAATGGTCTTGCAATCAATTGCAATCTCTTAATTAGTGATTCAGCTAGACCATTTTGTTTGTGAACATGAGCTACTAGGTGTTCAACATCAATTCCGATTGACATACAATACTCATTAAATGTTTAGGATGTAAATTCCCCAGCATTGTCGAGTCTTATTTTCTTTATTGTATGATCTGGGAATTGTGCTCTTAATTTGATAATTTGGGCAAGTAATTTTGCAAAGGCAACATTTCTGCTTGAAAGCAGACTGACATGTGACCATCATGTAGAAGCATCAATAACCATGAAATATCGAAATGGTCCACATGCCGGATTAATTGGCCCACAAATATCTCCCTGAATTCTTTCCAAGAATTTTGGAGATTCAATAGCAATTTTGTTCATAGATGGTCTTATTATTAATTTTCCAAGTGAACATGTAGAGCATGTCAATTCATCCGATCGAGGAATTTTGACATTTCTTATTGAATGTCCAATTGAATTTTCTATTATTCTTTGCATCATCCCAATTGCTGGATGTCCTAAACGATCATGCCATAAAATAATCAAATGTTTGTTATCTAACTTCTGGTTAGATATCATATTGATTTCCACGGGTCGTATGTTTATACGATATAACCCCGAAGAATATGCTAGCTGTTTCGGGGTTTTCTGATGTCCTGCGGGAGAGTTACAATTCCGAGACTGGAACCGGACGCCTGCACTTGCAAAACAAACGGATTCTCCGGATGATTGGAGATCCGCCTCCGACGGTCAAGTTAGTACTTGATTAAGGAGTACTTAATGCGGAAATTAAAGTTATTGGGTCTCTCTAGGTGAGAGTGTTTAATGTGTGTAATCTGCGTTGTTCGCGTCATCTCCCTTAATGAGGATTAAGGGAGGTATTTATAACCTCGGGAAACGTGCCAATCTAGGTTTAGGTTAACCTTGGGCTGATTGGGCTTCCCTCGGAAGTTGGGCCTAGGTGACCGGCTTCTCCATTAGGCATGGAGTATGCCACATGTCATGACATAATAAGTACAGGGTGGACGAATAAGCGTGTACCACGTGGCAAGCCCTGAGATGTCCAACTGGGGGACACTTGGAAGGACCTGATTGGCCCACGTGGCGCATTCCGATTGGTGGGAGCAAAATCCCCTAATCATTTGCCCCTCACAGGTGGCACGTGACTGGTCACGTGTTACCTGTGACAGGTATCGCCCTGTAACAGGCGACGGCCTGCTACAGGTGTCACTCGGCGAGAGGCCGAGAGATTCTCCTGCCAAAATTTTGAATTCTGGAAGTGACCCTTCGCCTTCTCACTTCGCCTATATAAAGGAGTGTTGACTTCGGTCATTTTCACACTTGAAAACTTTGTGAGAGAACATTCGGACCCCTGAACTTGTTCTGACATTTTGGACCCTTTCTGCCTACCGCCTGCTCTGACAAGCCGACTGCAAAGGATTTTAAGAACTTCATCAATCGTCACTCGTTCAGGTAACCGTCGGTTCTCTTACTCTTAATTTTCTCTTTACTTTATTCTTTTTTGAAATGGCACCACGGAAGCACACGACACGACCTAGGTTAATGATCAGCCGGTCACCGGGGACGGCTAAATCTAGGACTAGGAGTGCCGCCTGCCCTTTTCTGGACCCATCTTTGCCCTTTATACAAAGTCCGACTGTATCTGTGTCTATGCAGAGCATGATGGCCAGAACAAAAAAGACTGCCAGGATCTCAAACTCAGACGGCTCCTCCCACAGGGTGCCGATTAGTGAAACATCTGACCAGGCGCCAGATGTGGAAGTGAAACAAAGCGGCTTGAAAGCCGGCAGTTCAAAGGGAGGAGTCAAAGTGACCCCTTCCCATTTTACAGTTGACAATTCTACATTCTCTCCTGCTCCTTTTAAAGGAGAGGAGGCGGGCCCCTCCGGGAGAGGGGAGAAGTCGTCCTCTTCGGACTCGTCAGAGGACGATTCCGAGTCTAGCTCTTCTGGCCATGCTTCTCTGAACACAGAAGAGAAAAAGAGTCGCCTACAAGAGGCGAGGCTTTCTCACGCAGTTGAGAAGGGGGACGATTGGGCGGAGCCATCCGCCTCTCACCGAGAGCAAAATACCCCCTACTACTGCACTGTACCTCGGGGCCGGATCACGGCCATGCAAGAGAAAGTGGAGAGCTTTATCGCAAACCACACAATGGGCCCCGACTTTTTAGTGTTCGTGCCGGATCCAGAAGACACAGTCGTCTGGCCGGCTGGTACCAGTTATG